CAGATCAAAAAGGAGCCCATGCCTGCAGGAGTGAAGTTTTCACCATAGCAACACATGTTACTCTACAAACAGCCAGGACTAAGGCGCTCTGTTGTGACCCGTCTGGACAGTGCCCCCAAGGAACAGGCAACTGAGGGTTCAGACAACAGAGGAAGAAAGAGAAAAGTGGCCCGTATTTTGCCTGTGAGGCAGCCTCCTCATGGCTTTTCCTCCTCCACACGGCTGACACTGGCAACACTAAGACCCTCCAGTATCCACAGCCCGTGTTCTAACAAGACGGATGGCAGAGAAAACAGATGTGGAGCAGCCACACCACAGGCTCCCTGGGGAAAAGAGGGACCCAGTGTATAACAATCGCATGCTTTGGGAAGCGGACAGCTAGCACTGGAGAACTTCAGAGACAGGTCTCATGGCAAAGCAGGTCACATCTAAAATGAAATACAGCCGGGGTCCCCAACCAGCTGGCGTGAGGGTGTACACACAGACCCAACAATGAAACCAAGCAATCACCATCAGCGTGGTCGCTGAGACCATCAGCTAAGTGCCAGCGTGCCAGGCACAGTGCAGGGCATGCGGACAGGTTTCTTCATCTTGCAGTGAAGATCAAAACCTCACCAACTGATTAACACCACCGTTCTGGATATCACATTTTACCAAGGGAAGAAACTGGGATCATCAACGTGCCTTACATCCCATAGAGAGGGTGACGTCTGAGAGTTACTCAGGAGCGACGAGTTCCAAAGTTCTACTCTGTTAGTCAGATCACTGTAGAAAGCTAACCACAGAACAAGGGCACCCAAGAGAATCAACGACCCTTTCCAGTTTCCCCTGACTAATTTCTCTAGAACATTACTGATGGGCTATGTCAGAGGTGGACGGGAAGATGCATAAAACCAGGAAGTATAAAAACTGGCAAAGGAACCTCTTTAAAAATGCAGTAGAAGTTAGTCAAAGACGGCATAGGTCCACAGATGCCCATCTGTACCATTTGCCTACCTTTCCGTATTAACGCAATATAAGTGGGACCATTTTATGACACTAATATTAAGAGACAGGACCAGCAGTCTCACTTCAGGCTGTGATGACCAGAGGTATGTCTGGGAGGGTGTGAACTCCCATCCTCCCACAGAACCCATGTGCTTACAGGCGTCACACCCCGGGCTCCCACTGTAAGTGCAGCAAACACACCATCCGACAAGTCGGTCAGACACAGGGAAGGTAGATCCTGGACAAAGGGAACCCTTCCACACCTGGCTTCGAAACAGAAACCAAACACCAGCCACTACCCAAAAATTCCTCTAAGTCCAAAACCCTGAAGTCATCGCAGACCAAACAAATGAGGGCCCAGAATTTCAGAAACATTTCCTTGCTGCAGGGCCAGCAGAGCCTGCAAATGAGCTTTAAAATAAACAAGCAAAGTTTCTATCTCGAAATGACATTTTAGAAGTAAAGTGTAAGTTGTACCCCACGTTTGCCAGTCTCCATTCACTGATGAGAGTTTCTCTCTTTCCCTGCCGGTCTCAGTCTGAAACGTGGCACCGAAAGGGACACTGGAAAGGGACTGGAGAGGGGCTGGGGCGAGAGACTGCTTTAACCCTGACACACAGCATACACACCCCAGGGGCGGCCCACGCCCTGAAGCACTGTCAGGCCGGAACCCCCTACGACAGAGGGAAGGGCCAAACTGCTGAGTAGAAAACTCCCCATGCACCACCTCTCCGGAAAACAGAGTTAAGAAAGAGAAAGCTGGAAGGGAAGGAGGGGGAAAATAAAGCTCCACATTCCTGACATTTTTTAGCCAAGTGCTGTGGCTGCACAGAACAGCTCTATTCCAAACAGCCTGCAGGACAGAAAGAAAACCTGAGTTCTCAGGGAAGAACCTGTCCCCTGCCTTGGCAATGTGAGAAGGAATCTCGGGATGGCCCAAAACTAAGTCAAGAGGAACAGGGACAGCCACCCTTTCATGTGTGTTCCCAAAAGGAAGTGATCCCAAGGGAAGGAATTTGGAGTCGTCATCCTCTCCAGGGGACAGAACTGAAGTCCTGGGGTCCCTGAGGGGGGAATGAAAGCCGCTACGAATGATGGCGAGCTGACGAGGGAGCTGGGGAAAAGGGCAAGGCAGGAATGAAGATGGAGACCAGTTAGGACAAATGGGCTGGGGCTGCCTGGGGTGGGAGAGGGGACCGGCTCACTGCCAGAGACTGGGCATGGGACCCCAGGAGGAGTGGCCAGCGGACTCTTTGTGGGAAGAATTATAAATGAGTTTTCTTGACTCAGCTTCTGAATGAAGGAATCCTAGCCATGCCCAAGTTAGAAGCCCAAGAGCCTGCTGTTTTCTCTCTCTCTCTCTTTCTGTCTTCCCCCTCCCTTTTTACCTCCTCTGTCCACATTTCTAGGAAAAAGTGTTAAGTGCTGGACTGTCTCCCATATGCATCGCTGCACAGAGACACATACATACCACACCTCCAGGGGAGAACCCAGAGCCCTAAGTGATATCCAGTAAGTCCTTGGCTGGGTTATGAGGTGCCACCCCCAGCTTTACTCCAAATGTGCAGATGCCCACATGTGTTCCTCTGAAATCCCTAAAAGTAATTGGGCTGTTTCTGCTCTCAGCTGGTAGGGAGAGCAGAGTTCCAAAAATCTCAGTTCCCCCCAAATACCTATCTCAGTGGAGTCAGTCAGTAGGTATAGACCATGAAGATCTACTCTGTACCTGGCACAGCAGAACATGCATCCTCCATAAGGGAGGCTCGGCACAGCCCCTCTTCTCCCAGACAAGCACATACCAGCAATCCCGCAATGCACCTTCTACGCACCTTCCAGAGAAGGAGACGCCTTCCCTGTAAGCTCACAGGTGTAGGTCTAAGGTTCTACAGGGAGAGGGTGATAGGAAGCCTGCAGGCACTTCAGCTAAGGTCCCCTCCACAGTCCTCAGTCCAATCCCAAGAACGGGAGGAGAGGAGTTTTTTTTTCCTCTTCTATCAGGTGCTGGGAGTGAAGAGATCCTAGCACTTTTTAACTCCCACAGAGTACCAGCTTTAGTTCATAGGACTTTCCAACACTAGAGGCAGGGAGGGCAGGAGGTACCAAGCTCAAACATTAGGCAGCTCCTTTTGAGCCAAGAAAGCAGGTAGAGCCACAAACCTGAACAAATGTCAGAAACTCAGCCAAGAGAGCCATAAGGCTATGCTAGAGACTTAAGTGGCTGCAGAGTGCGTGGCTATGAGGTCTACAGCTGTCACGTGTGTCTTTCCAACCACACCCTCCAAGACTGGTGACATGGCACTGGGAGGCCTCTTAGAATGGAGGACAGCAAACAGATACAAATAGGACAGAGTACTGGCCCTCTTATTTCATTAAGCTATTATTATGTTAAATAATAACAGGGCTTCAGAAACAATTGACTTGTTTTCACATTTATAGACTCTATTACGGCTTTTGTTGCCTATAAGATCTCAGTTAAGCCTTACAATAACCCCATGAGGAAGATGGGTTTTACTAACCTCTTTAATAATGGGGAAACTGAGGTTGCAGTCAGTTTTTTTTTGTTTTGTTGTTTTAATCAGTCTCATGACAAAGCAGGGAATGGGACACAGAGACGACCCTAGCTAAAGCCCTTTCCAATACACAATGAGAGCTATAGGGGTGAGAGAAAGGAGCGAAGGACTGAAGAGGAACTGCCAAAAGCTGGTGTGCAGACCCCAATCCTAGTCTCAGGTGTATTTCCTACAGACCCTGAAGCCCAGACAAGGGCACATTCACACATCTAAATCTGACTCGGCCGTCGTAAAAATGTCCCCAGCTTGAAGACAGCTCTCCATGGGCCAGTTAGGACCCTTGTCATACTTAGAGAGTAGAGGAGGAGCACAGAGACAGAGAGACACAGAAGGAGAAATTAGCCCCACTAGAATCCTCCACCTCCAAGGTAGTTTACAACCGGTTACAGCTTTTTAACCCATTTCTGGGAATGCAGATAAGCAACTCCACCCAGAAAGTAGGACAAGGCACTGCCTCACTGGAGACCACACTGAGAGTGAGGGGTGTCACTATCTCACTCCAGATGAGGTATATACCACAGCAAGAGCTATTATGCTCACTTCCCTCCAGTTCTTCTCACTTTTGAATATCACATTTTTCTCGATCTCTCTTAGGTGTAGAGTCCTTCCCATCAGATCCCCTTGGTCCTGACCAGGTGGGGCTTACTACAAGTCCCTGCTCTGCAAGGCCTGCACCAGGGCATTGCTGGGGAGGTGGGGGAGAGGCAATGTAGGACCCCCATCCTCTCCCCGCTACCCCCATAGCTGTGAGAGAATCACCTTGCCCTTAAAAACACATGGTATCCCGTCCCTGTTCTTGGCCCTGTAATGGGGAGAAGCTCCGGGTGTACCACAGACGGAGCTGAAGGAATAATCCAGAGTGATAATGGGTAACAGGAAAACTAGCCTTTAGGCAAGGGCCAAGGGGCGGGGGGAGGGGGAGACACAGCAGGGATGGGACCAGGACCACACGTGAAGATGCAGAAGACCCAGAAAATCAAGTGGGAGGTGGAAAAGGGTCTGGGTCCCCCGCGCTGGAAAAGCCCAGAAGAGGTGGCAGCTACCGCTTGGGAGAGGGAGATAGTTGTGCAACGACTCCGGGTCTGGGAGTCTCCGGGCTTGTCTCCCGGACACCAGAAAGGAAACCCCACTGTTCGGGCCAGGGTGGCAGCACTGCGGTTGGTTCGAGGCCAGGCTTAGGATTCAGGGCTGCAGAGAGAGCTGCAGGATATGGTGGGTGCCCAAGGGGGCGGCTGAGCAGGGCAAGGCTGGCAAGGAGCAGAGCTGGAGGGTGGGGGGTTGTCTGGGCTGACTCGGAGACCAAGGGGGGTACAGTGTACAAAGCCGGGGTGCAGATAACGTACATGGCAGCCCCGCGCCCCAGCTCAGACGAGGACCCCAGGGACCTGCAAGGGTCCGCCGGGCGGCGCACAAGAAAGGGTACCCCTCCCCGGTCTCGCTCACCTCGAACATAAGCCCTATGAGGACGCAGAGCACCAGGCAGAAGCCGATGTCCGCATGGTTGTGGATGACGAACTCCTGGCTGAAGAGTGGGTAACTTTTCGTCCTCCTGCGGAAAGCCATGGCAGCGGGCGCGCAGCGGCCGGCGGGGCCCGCACCCTGCGCTCACAAGCCGCCGCGCAAACTTCTCCAGCCCCGGCCCGGTCCGCCCGCCGGCCCGCAGCCCGCTCGCCCTCCCGCCAGCCGGCCTAGCGCCCAACAACTTCGGGGCCCGCCCCCTTCCTCCGACTGCCCCCGCCCCCGCCGCCCGGAACCGCCCCCGGCCGCAGCCCCCTCCCCACTAGCTGCCCGCACTCGGCGCGCCGGCTCGATCCGGCCCCGCCCCCGGTGCACTTAACCCCCTCGTCGCCGAGGACGCTGCGGGGGCGGAGCCGGCGGGCGCGGCCAGGGTCCCCTTCGCTACGGGCTCGCGTAGCTCCGGGTTCCCCTCGCCCCGGGCCCCGTCTCCGCGCGACCGCGCTGCACTCCTCCGCATTCTTAGTGTTGCGGTTCGGCTGCTCCCGGCGCTGACCAAGCAGGCCGCTAGGGACGGGGACGCCCGGCCCTGTCCTACCCGGACAGGAAGTGGGTCCGGGTTTCCCACTCCCGGCGCCCGCTCCTTCCTCCGCGGAAAAGGAAGGCCCGGGCGGCTACTGGCAGCCGGATATTCCCTGGGGTGCAGGCTGTGGCCGTAGGGCGCTGAGAGCAGCGCAGGTTCAGTGGAGAGGGGAAGCTGCACGCCGGCCTTCTCGCTGACCACAGCTAACTGCAAGCACGGTTGATGATTTATTAAGAGCTTGCAGTGGGCTAGGCATGGTTCATGTTGCTGTGATTGTGCAACAAACAAGAAAAGACCCTGCCCTTGGGGAGCCTTGGTTCCAAATGGGTGGCGGAAGTGGGGGAATGGATGCGTTCAGTATCGCTCGCTAGTATAAATTCATTTTACACGTCTTACCCAACGTCTACCTTCAATATTAATTGATAGGAAGAAATGGAAGAATAAATACAGAACTTCTCATTGCAAGTTAAATAAGTTTTATTTTTTTTTATTTTTTTTATTGATTTGAGAGAGAGAGAAACATGCTGTTCCACTTATGCATGCATTGTTTGCTTCTTGTATGTGCCCTGCCGGACCAGAAATGGAACCTGCCACCTTGGCATATGCGGAGGGCCAATACTCAGTTTTGAAAGTACTCTGGGAAAGCACAAGAGGTATTTTTAATTAATTTATATTGACAAATAATTGATTTCCATCAATAATGAAGTCAACTAATCACTTTTTAGATGTCAAAAAAAAACTATTAAATTCTTACTTCTGTAGATATTTCACTTGTAAGTAAATATGATTTCTTAAAAATGACACAGTATGAAATGTGATTGAGACTGGACTTACCTGGGGCTCCTAGGTATATCTTAAAGTTTCTTGACTCTAGCATTTAGCATACTGTCTTTGGTCTTTAATTCCTTTAATTAGTTTAAGAAAATGGGAGTGTGATGCCTGACTTGGACTAACCCTCCTGTATCTTCAAAACTGATCTTTCTTAGCACTGGATGGTGTGGCTCAGTGGATTGAGTACCAGCCTGTGGACCAAAGGGTCACTGGTGCAAATCCCAGTCGCGGCACATGCCTGGGTTGTGGCCCCCAGTTGGGGTGCATGAGAGGCAATCACACATTGATGTTTCTTTCCTTCTCTTTCTACTTCCCTTCCCTTTTCTCCAAAAATAAATAAATAAAATCTTAATATATAGTTTTTAAAAGGACTGACCTTTCTTAAAGTTGGACCTTAGTGTTATCAGAAATAGAAAGATCAAGAATTCTAGAGCATCTCAATTTTCCACCTGTGAATAGCTGTTGTCAGCTGAGCTTAAATGAATCAGGGGGCTTTGGCTAGAAATAAATGATAAAGATTTATTCAAGTGTCTTAAGTTGGCAAACCAGAAACAAAAGTGGGCAATACCCAGAGTGTTCTCCAAGAAGAAAGAAAAGCTGAGGGTTCTTAGAGTAAAAAGTACACTCTTGAGTAGAATCAGTCCTGTATTCTTAGCCTCAGGGTAGAGTCCGAGATGATAATCCTCTGGATGACAAGTGGTCTGGATAATGAATGTCAAATGGTCTGGATATGTGAACACTGTTTCCTTAGTCCTCCAGGTTTGGTGTATAATCCAGGCAATGGTGCAGGACTGGAATAATCAAAAGTTTAAGTTCCCAGGCTACCCTAAACAAGAATGAAATCCTTTCCTCATACCTCAACATACTTCATTTTAGTAATTTAGCAGCTTGACTATAGTGACTCCATTTTGTTTCTTCATTCTATTGCTTGGTATTCAAATTTTCTAACTGCAACCACATCTACCAGGTTGAACCTTATGAAATTGGTTTCATTGTAGATCAAAACTGGAATACCAGCATTTCAAACGATTCGACCTAATAGTTATCTAATGTTTCCCCATGACCATCTGTAAAGGACGTTGTGGTGGGAATTTTTTGTGAAAAGTGGGATGTTGTTGACCTCTGAACATTGACTTCAGGACAAAAGCTCTGGGAGATAGTTAGGTATTACACCTCCACGTTTATAAATGAGAAACCCGGAGTAAAGGGAATGGCTTAGTCTGTGCTTATATTGTTGACTGCCGGTCCTGGGCCCTTTCAAATATAATTGAACAATTAGACGTATGGTTTTCAGATACATGGTTTGATATGTCACTACCTTGAAACCCCATGGAGAAAGTATTAAATGCCTACTACAGCCATCACAACCATCTCTAAGTCCTAGTTTTAAAACCATCTTCAACCCAAAATGGATCTCTTCCCAACCACTCCCATCCAATCAGTCGTGGAGCCTATGAACTCTTACCTCCCACCAGTTCTCCCCTCCCCCACTCTTCACCTGGCCCACACTCATTACCCATGGATGCTCTTCCTTTAATACCTCCCCCTTTAATATGTCATTTTATTAGAAACATTTATTGAGTACCTACTAAGTGCCAGACACTGCACTAGTTACTGGAAACAAAAAGATAAGACAGCCTGTGTGATGGTTTTAAAACATGTCCTCAGGTTGTTTGATACTTCTCCCTTCAAGGGGTGGTGATTAATCTCCCCACCCCCTTGAGTATGGCCTGGACTTAGTAGTTCACTGCTAACAAATAGAATATGGGATAAGTTCTGATGGTGCAATTTCCAAGACTAGGTCATAAAAGGCACTTTGATTTTCTCCTTTCTCTCGTCTTGGGGCACTTGCTCTGGGGAAGCCAGCTGCCATGTTGCAAGGATACTCAAGCAGCTTTTTATGGAGAGATCCTAATGGCATGGAACCAGGGCCTTGTGCCAACAACCAACACTAAATTGCCCAGTGTGTAAGTGAGCTATCTTGGAAGCAGATTCTCCGCTTCCAGTCAAGCCTTCAGATGATTGCAGATCCAGCTGACCTCTTGGTTGCAAAGTCATGAGAGGCCCTGAGCCAGAACTAGCCAGGTAAGCTGCTCCCAAATTCTTAACACAGAGCAATGGTGAGATAATAAACATTTGCGGTTTAAGTCACTAAATCCCGTTGTCACTTGTTATGCAACAAGAGGTAATTAATAACCCTGCTGGAGCTTATAATCTTTTAGAAGAAACAGAGGTATCATTACAATTTAGTGTGATGATGGTGAATCTAAGAACAACTAGAACTATATAAGCTGTGAATACAAAGAAAAGGTAACTTAATTCTGTCTGTAGTATAAGGGGGAGGATATTTGGGTTGGACCTTTACCTAGAAGGAATTTACAGACAGAATGCAGAAGAGGGGTGGGAGATGAATTATGAAGAGTTAAGAGTGGGGTTTTGAATGTCAGAATGGTGAATTTCAGTATACATATTATTAAGTCATGTTGTATACTTTAATCTTACAATTTTGTCAGTTATAACTCAATGAAGCTGAAAAATTTTTTAAACAGTTGAGACTTTATTTTGCCAACAATGGGAAGGAATGGGTAGTTTTTAAGCATGGCCAAATCTGTAGAGAGAAAATTATCATAAATATGAAAAATCATTTTGATTTAAAGAGTGGTGTCAAGAAGACCACTTGAGAAACTGTTATAACAGTCCAATAAAAAAAAAAAATGAACACTTCACAAAGAATAGATAAGAATCAAAGAGAGATGAATTATTTCAGAGACATTTCCAGGGTTAATTAATTGGATTCGTTGACTGCTTTGCTGTAAGAAATACAAGAGTTGGAGGAGTTCAAAATTTTAGGCTAGGATGATATAAATGATGGTATGACCATTAAAAAAAAGGAACAACAGAGGAAGAGTAGGCCTGAGAGAGAAGATAGCCACAGCTTTGAACCAGCAGGGCTTGAGGAGTCACAGGACATCCAAATCAATACTTCGATAGGTCTGCTGGAAAGTGCTGGATTGGATTTAGGGAGGGAAAACCAGAATTAAATATATTTGCGGTTCACCTATATTGGGACTGTTGAAGCCATGCACTTAAATAAGTATTCCCTGGAGAGTGTGCTGAAAGAGAAAAAGAAAATCCTAAGTCAACATAATCCTAGGGAACCCCAACACTGAGAAGGGAGGAGGAGGAAAAGGAAAGGGTGGGGTGGAGGAAACCATGACACATGCACTTCATAAAGGCAGGTTAAATCAGGCATCAGAATAAGACGAAGCCTTATGTGCAGGCATCATGACCTTTAAGAGCCCACTCTTAACTGGACATTGGAATGAGCTTAACAGTGGGTAGAAGACTAGAAAAGGAGGAGAGAAAACAGTCTATTCTTTTAAGAAGTTTGGTGAGAAAAGGGAATTAGCTCACATTTGTGGGGATATAGAAGATCTAAGGAAAGATTTTTAAATTACATATATTTACATTTTGAGATTGGTGCATGTTTGGAGATAGAGAAGAAACACTCAGGAGAGAGGGAAAGGATTTAAAATACTGAAAATACAGCCTTGCCTGGCGTGGCTCAGTGGATTGAGCATGGCCTGCCAACCTAAGCGGTGCTTATTTGATTCCCAGTCAGGGCACATGCCTGGGTTGCAGGCCAGGTCCCTGGTTGCGGGTGCTGCGAGCAACCAATCGATGTTCCTCTCCCTCTCTTCCCCTCTCTTTAAACATAAATAAACAAAATCTTTAAAATACTGTAAATATAGGAGATCATTGATGAAACTAAGGAGAAGACTAGAGTGTAGCTCCAACAACAGGAAGAAAGAAAACTCCTCAGAGGCT